CACTGGACTGTTGAGTCCAGGCCACAGAAAACCGCCACGACCTGGAGGTTAAAAAGAGAAAAAAGGAAATCAATTACAGGAATAAAGAATGAGAGGAAGAGAAATTAGTACTAATTATTTTGCAAACATTTGTATTTTCTTTGTATATAAGGATCTAAGGCCATGATACTTGCAGTGTATGGATGCAAACAGCTGTTGACAGCTGTGGACACCGAGCACAAATAGTTGTTCCTATTATCTTCCATACCTGAGAGAGCTCTGTGGGATTCCAAAATGATGGATGCTCTCTTGCAGAGCATTAATAATTTAACACTAAGTAATGAATATTCTAGTTTGTCATCCTCATCAGCTGCTTCTTAGCTTCAGCGTGAGTGTCAGCGTGTGATTGGCAGCGCTTGTGTTAACAGCTGAGCAGGAGAAATTTATGCACTTCAGAACAAAGGAAATCATTTAGACAATTCAATTGTATTATTTAAAGAGAAAATTATAGGAATTAGATTTTCTGTGTTTTACCGGCTTTACTCTTCTGTCAAGAAGTGAATTAAAGAAAGGCACGCAGTGGAAGTCTCACCCTCTCCAATGGTCTGTCCTCGGTTCAGATCTCTCCTTAGTTTGCGTTTGGTACGCTTCCCTCGACCCTTTCTTGCTCCAGCACCGGACTCAGCCAACACACCTCTCCATAGCTCTTCAGCCGTTACTGTAAACACACACACACACACTCACAGTTAAACACACACACATTAAACAAAAATGGTCATACCATGTTTGAGAATAAAGGTTAGCTATGGTTGTGGATGGTTATTGAGTTATGACTGACAAGCCGTTAGCCAGTGAAGAAGCGGTTTCACAGTCCGAGCCACACCTCTTGTCACATCTGTCTTTTTATGACTAACATGGTGGTGAAAATCTAGAGACTTCAGAAACCAATGGTTGAAGTCCCGGTAGTTACAACCATCTTTCAGACTGTCTGTGATTTTACCTTTGTTTAGTTCTTATCACTCTTATCAACGTCTTTTATGGTTCACATATTTAAAAGTTTTCTTTTACTTACATGAAAACGTAAAAAAAATGCTTTAAATGTTTGTTTTCTACAGATTAGCTGTATGAAACTAGCCTTTTTCTCCAAATGCATTAAAGGTTTTAGAATTTCACTGTCAGTAAATGACAGATTTGTTTTTCTGATTACTTGAGACCTAAAACGATTCATACACGAAAGATAAAACTAAATGATTAGTATTTGACAGCTGATAAATCACTTAAATGACTTTTGATTAAAAAATGAAAATATTAAATACGTTTTCAAATGTGAGAATTCACTGCTTTTCTTGGTCTCACATTGGGGTAAATTTGTATTTGGGGCTTCCTGTAATTGTTGGACAGACAAAACAAGACGATAGTTATTTTCAGCACCTCACTGAGTGAGCTAATACCAGAGGACTGTTAGCAGTGACAACAATTTGAAACAGATTAAAATATAAGACACACCTGAAACAGTCTTATTAAAATAAGTCTCTTCTGCTAGCAGGAAAAATGCTGCCAGCAGAGTAGATTTAACTACTCATCTGCCACACTTTCACCTTGACTTTAGCTCAACTCACCGAGTCAAAACACTTAAGAGTCAAAAGATCATAAACATATCAGAATTTGGGTCCGTCCTCTCAGAGCTGACAAATAAAATTTTTAAACAGTAATCTCACAATGTAAGATCTAACTAATGTAATGTGAGAATGCTTGGAGCTGTGCCCCTTTAAAAGCCACAAATAAGGATGTCCAGTAAGTGACA